CAAGGAGCAGGTTTCTGATGTAAGCACATAAGGTTTTATTCAGGTTCAACCTGGGCCACCACCAGGCAGATGGAAGGAAATGTGGGGCCAACCATGAGCCCAGGTGTAGAGAGTTTTTATAGGAAAAAAACCACAAGCCAGGAATTGGCAACTTGGGATTGGATAGAAGGTATATGGCATAAGGAGAATTTTTGAAACTATTGGTCTAGACCTTGGACCTGACACCACATTTGAAAACATTGGGTTAGACTTTTGGTGGGGAACCACAGCCCACTGAACAGGATTATCTGGACTACTCATCAGGATAATCTAGTTATCTTCAGAGGCACATTCCTAAGGTTCTTCTTGGAACTGAGTACAGCAGGTGGTCTGAGATGGTGGCCAATTCCCCAATGTTGTAGAGCCTGTAAAGTCAAGTCTAGGGCCTCACACTGTTGTGCCCAGATTGCAACCCCCAGAGGTACCACCAAAGATGAGCATGCCAGAATGCAGAAGCAAGGTTTAATTCAGGATATACAAGCCTAGGCAGGGACTTCATCCAACAGATCCAACACAGTGAAGGCTGGAGAAAGTGCCTACCTCTTGCAACCTCAGTTTTTAAAGGCAAAATCCACAAGAATACATCATTTAGGGGTGCTAGTATGGGTACAATTCTGATTTGATCACTTCTAGGGGCTTTCTAGAAATCATGGCTCAATCTTACTTCTAAGATTCTTACAACCATTTCTCATTGGCTGCCCTCAGGTGGGGACATTTCTGTGGTCAGTTTCCTGGAAACAAGGGAGAGGACATTCCATAGTCCAGCAGTCATTACCTCATGACTACCTTGTGACTCTGTACCTTACACTTCCTGGTTTCTAGAATCTGGACTGACTGGTTTCAGTAACTAATGGCCTATTCTAGTAACTCATGCCCTGTACCTTAAAGGAGAAATCTTAGGCCTTAGATTTAGGCTGAATGCATTTTGGTCTTATTTCTAAGATGGCTCATTTGGGTCTCACAACACTAGGGCTGTAGTTCAGTGTACAGCACTTGCCTCAGTTTTATAATACCCTAAATTAAATTGCAGTACAATGCCCCCTACCGTTATTTTTCTGAAAAGAAATATGAACAACATTTATGAAAATGTTGGTTACTAATTCTCCATTTCTTCCCCTTCTCTTCTTTGTTCCATCACAGATGCTCGCCATTCTTACAAAGTATTTGAAGGTGTTGTGGGCCACCCTGTCACACTGCCATGTATTCACTCCACAAATGGGGGAATCACTACCGCATGCTGGGGCCTTGGTGAATGTCAATCTTTTTATTGTGCTAGAACACTTATCTTGACCAATGGATATCAAGTCTCCTATAAGAGGAGCAGCAGATACCAGCTAAAGGGGCATATTTCACAAGGAAACGTGTCCTTGACAATAGAGAATGCTGTTCAGAGTGACAGTGGTCCATATTGTTGTATAGTGGAGATTCTTGGATCTTTCCGTAATATGACCTATTCCTTGGAAATTAAACCAGGTAAGCTTTCTTTATTTCCTTTGTTTATTTCTTCAAGTGACCCTAGTCCTCTGTGTGCTAATATTTTCTGTTTTCCTCTAAGAAGGAAACCAAAGGTTGCTATAAATACATTTGTGTATAGGTGGAGAGTTCGGCTCCCTGTCTGCCCTGCCTTGAGCCTTTGAAATAGGTCTCATATCAAGTCACACAATTAGTTGCCTGCACACTGGAAAAGTCCATATAGAAGCAGGTTCCCTCCAACACCTGTCCTCTGTCATTCAGTAGTGTAGTAACAGATGAGCAGAAGCGGCTAGTCCATAAATGACGCTGACACACAATTCCCTCCAATCTTCTTTACTAGAATGAGGAGGTCCCAAGGCCGAGATCAGACCTCCAGCCTGTAGGAAGAGCATTAGACAGAAACAATACCATCTATGAGGTTCATCCCTTGATGGGGTATGAAGAGGCTTCCAGGGAAGGAGGGGCTTCTATTTACAACCCAGAGAGGAGTTTCATTAAGAGCAGGATTGTGTGTGTGAGACAGAGATAAGAAGGACTAGAGAGAGACAGAGACAGAGACAGTGACATAGACAGAGAGACAGAGAGAGATAGCTGCCATAACTGGAATGGACGTTCTACAGAGGATCCTCTTGAGAGAGCAGCCTGCAGAATAATCCTCCCAGCATTCCTCCTGAGGAGTCTCAGGCTGGTCCCCAGAGCAAGGAGAAAGTCTGATTTGTTACATCTTTTAGTGGTAGAGGTGTTAGCTGCTAGGTCTCAAGATGAAGGCTAACTAAGGTGCTTGTTAAAATATCAAAGCAGACACAGGCTGAAATTCTCTCAGCAAGGCCAGAACTTGGCACACCCCACCCCCTCCATAAATTCTCCAGCCCAGGGACTGGTTTGGCCAGCCCCTCCCCCAGCTGCTCTTCCCTATGTTACCCAGTCATTTTGGCTAGACAGGTCCCTTTGGGTTCTTGAACTCTTGGCCCGCACTCTTAGCTCCTAGCTTTTCCCTCTCCTCACATGGGGAGTTCAGTTTTCTGGTAAAGTTCACACTGGACCCTCTGGATGCCTCTGTCTGTTTTCTCCGTCATATCTACAGTAAATCTTCTCCACTGTCTTCCTTTTATTTCTTTTTTTTTTTAATCACAAAGGAAGTTTCCTATCATGTGATTTAGTTCACCATAGCATAAGTGACAGAGAGTATCACACAGCCAGTTGTTGATTAGGTCTGTAAATCAGGGCTGCTGTTAGGGCACATAGCAGACAGACTCTAACTATATCAGAGAGAAGCAGGAAGGTAGGGCTTGACCTATTCAGACCGTGGGATCTGGTCTAAGGGTGCAAACCCATGTTCTAACAGAAGTTTATCAAACCCCCAATCTGGAATTCTTACATTTTCTATCTTTCTTTCTTTCTTTCTTTCTTTCTTTCTTTCTTTCTTTCTTTCTTTCTTTCTTTCTTTCTTTCTTTCTTTCTTCCTTCCTTCCTTCCTTTCTTTTTTTCTTTCTTTCTTTCTTTGTTTTTTTCCTTCATTCCTTGTTTCGTTCCTTCCTTCCTTCCTTCCTTCCTTCCTTCCTTCCTTCCTTCCTTCCTTCCTTTCTGTTTTTTTCTTTTCCCAGAGTTTGTTTCTCTGTGTAGTCCTGGCTCTCCTGGAACTTGTTCTGTAGACCAGACTGGCCTTGAACTTACAGAACTCCCCCTGCCTCTGCCTCCAGAGTACTGGAATTAAAGGAGTGTACCACGAGAACCAGGTTTCACATCTCCTTGAAGTACATATCCTGAATTTTTTTTTTTTTTTTGCACTGACTAAAACAATAGGCTCATGAGGACTTCCTGCCTTCTGGTGCTGTTCCTAATATCTTTTTATTTAAGGGTTCACACAGACAATGGTAATCAATAATAGATATAATAGAAACCATCAGTCTCTATAGTTTTTAATTAAGAACAGTCTATAGTCTTTCAGCTTCTAGATTTTGTTATATATCCATCCATTCATTTATTATTGTGTTTAATTGGATTTTTAAAACTTCATTTATTATTGAGTGACTATGTGTGAATGATGTGCCTGTGGTGGGTTTACATATCATGATGAATTTGCCAGAGGGAAAACTCCTGTGCTTGGTACTCTCCTTATGATTTTATGTGAGTTCTAGGGATGTAAGTCAGTTGACCAGGTCTGCAAGTCAAGGGCCTCTACCTATTGAATCAATTTACTGGATCTCTGTTTATTGATTGACTGATTTCTTGATTTTGATACTGGGCCTTGCTTTGTAAATCAGGCTGACCTGGAACTTCTTGCTCACACCTTAGCCTCCCCAGTGATGGTATTATAGAAATGTGCCACATTTCTTGTTAGGGTGAAGTCCATTCTGATGGGGCAAGGAGCTGCTTTTCAAAACTATGGCTGGGAGGCAACTCAAGGAATCCTGAAGAAGCCAGTCATAGATTATGAAAGAATGATGTATAAAGACAGCTTTGGGGAAGAGGCATAAGGTTCCTGGTGCCTATCACAGATGTGAAATTATGTTACTAACTTGGCTGAAGTTGAATGATTCTGACATCCAAGGGTGCCCACTCACATGAGAATAAACCCACGTTCAAACAGGCATACACACACACACACACACACACACACACACACACACACACAGAGAGAGAGAGAGATAAATCCCTTAAAAATGTGAACTGCCTTGGGGTTTGTGTAGAAATGTGTCTGGCATGCTTGAAACCTTGGGTTATATCCCAGACCCTAAAACACAATAACCTAGTAAGGCCTCTGGTTGTAGCTTGGGAAGGCAGTCGTCCATTAAACATTCCCACTTAAACTCTGGGGTTAGGGCCCCACCACCAGAAGTGGGAAAGGCATGCCATTACAGCATAGCATTACTAATTTAAGTTCATTAATTGAAGATTTTATGGAGCTTAGAGATTCGTTAGCAGGTCAGTGCTTACAAAGTCACCCTGAGTCACTGTAGTCCCTAAGTGAGCCAGCAACTATTTCCTCCTTTAACAACCAAGTCCACATCTTCTCATGGTTTAAACACATGGAGCTTCCTCTTCAGCTGCTCTGGGACCCTCATCAGCTCCTTTGACTTTCCCATCTACCTGGG